ACACTGTGACGTCTTACATCTCTAAAGAGCTCTGGCTGTCCTCCTCCCCAAACATGTCTCATTCGCTTTGCTGCAATTTTATAAGATAAGCATTCCTTTAAGACTGGGGATAAGGCTCTGTGCAAATAGAACAATGTTTCCCTCAGCTTCTAGTAGTTATTTGCATACTTTTCAGAAACATGAATTGGGACTGGTCCTTAGGACGGTAAATCAGGGAAAGGCCTTTGGCCCTGGTGGAGTTTCTGGGAGAATAGTTAAAGCTTGTGCTGATCAACTTACATAGGTTTTTACCAAGATTATTATTCTTTCCCTAACACAAGCTATTATTCCATCTTACATAAAGTCAGCTGTTATCATTCCTCTTCCCAAAAAAGTCATAAAACTATTGAAAGCTTAATTGACTATGGACCAATCGCAATCACTTTAGTGGTTATGAAGTGTCTGCAGAGATTGGTCTTACGGTGCATTAAAGCTAGCTTATCTGGTGCCTTGGATCCATACCAGTTTGCTTACTGAGCCAACAGGTCTACCGAGGATGCTATTTCTACAGCCCTACATAAGGTGTTAATTCACTTAGAATATTAGAGAAGTTATAGACTATAGATTAAACTTCATTCCTTAAAGCTGCAAACTGGGGAAAAATGCTCTCCCCCCACCCTGCAAGGGTTAAGTGCTCATTTTTGCCTAGGGTACCAGGATCCCTTTTGCTTACCTTATCCCTTGCTCCCCTGGAAGCCAGTGCTCAACTCTTCACTCCAAAGTTCTGGGTCTTTTGAGGGAGCCTCTGTGTCCTCACTTACATTGTAGGACTACTACTCCAGCACTTGATGACATCAGAGCTGCGACTGTTGGCTGGAGCGTCTTAGAGAAGAGGCTTCGGGGGACTGGTCGCATGAAAGGTGAAGCCTGGGGGAATGAGGGATAAGGTAAGTAAAAGTTATTTTTCCTCACTATGTGCAGCCTGGTGATGACATCACTGCTACTGTATATGGTAACAACTTTGCAAAGACATTTGGTGCACTTTAAGTGGATTATACTGTATACTTGTGTCTATTGAGGAATATATTTAAAGCAGACCTTTTTTCATATCTTTGAAATGACAACAAAGACACCTTTAGAAATGTTTAGTAATGACAATCTACAAACACATACTTCTAGATAATTGTCAGCCTTGCATTCTTTGTTTACCTCATTGCCCTTTTCTTCCCCATTCTTCTCACAGTGGCCATTTTTACTAGGGGTAGATTAATATCTCACTTTACTTCCTGGAACTCTAGCACATGTGACTAGGACATGTGACCATGCACATCATCTCAGGGGAGGAAAATGCCTTTCCCTGAGATCTTCTGAGATTATAGATGAGGTTTCCCAGCAATGCTCCGCTGATGTAACCTTCCCAGGATGCTTGGGCACAATGCTCCGCTGTTGTAACCTTCCCAGGACGCTTGGGCACATTATATCACTAATGCCCAAAAGGACCAGGAACTGTAATTAAAATAAAAATATGTTTGTTTAATGAATGTAAGATGATTTCATATCAGCATTCAGTGCTGCATGCCAATGTAATATTTGGTAAAAGAAAGTAAAGGTCCGCTTTAAGTGAAAGTCTTTGTGCCTGTTATTCTGTTCTATTCTATTGAAGAATTCAGCAGGGAGGCTGACACCTTCTCATAATAGCTATAGTACCTTGGTGAACTTTGAAAAGCAGCTGCAGAAATGTTGTTGGTGGTGTAAGAAAGCAATTAGCATTTACTAAACTGAAATGGGAATATTGGTTATAGATGGGATGTTAGGGCTTGTTCACACCAGCCCAGCCCTGGATCAGATCTGCAAACGCATTGCAGCGCATTTTTGATGAGTTTTTGATGTGTTCCGGTGCATTATTTAAAATTAAAATTGGATTTCAGGTGCGTTCCAGTGTGTTTGAATGCTTTTGCATGGTTTTGGATGCATTTACATGCATTTGGGTGTGTTCCAGACCAGAAAAAATAGTGCATGCAGCATTTTTTCCGCACTGGAACGGACTGCACTAGTTTAAACAGAGTCTAGAAATGCCATAGGAATGCATTTCAGCTGCGAACAAAAACTGTTCTGCTCGGAATCTGGTCATGGTGTGAACATGCCCAATGAAATCCAGGCAGAGAAAAATACCAGATCCTTACCTCTGTAGTGGAGCTCAGATTATTTTCTTTTCTGTTGCTTAATTTTGCGCTAATCTAATACAGAGTTTTTAGTTTGGTGAAAAAAATGACTGTGCAACGATTCTTTGTGGGATGCACACTGACTAAACAACAAAGTGGAGACAGAAAATGAAAGAAAAATTGCAAACAATTGATACTAGGGATGCACCGATACTGATAGTGGTATCGGCGCCGATACCGAGTATTTGGGTAAGTACGAGTGCTCGCCCAAATGCTCCGATACCTTCCTCGATACCGGAACTTCCGGTCAGAGGAAGATTTCCTCTGACCGGCAATGCCATAGGAGAACATGGAGCCGGCTTACCGGGCAATCAGCAAGCCAGGTGGTGACTAATGACCCGCCTCCCGGCTCCCTGAGTGGCCGGGAAGCAAGCCGGCTCCTTGCTGATTGTCAGGCACCTGACTGTTTGGTAAAATTCTGCACCACAGGAATGCTGGTCAGATGGCCAGAAGCAAACAAGACGAATATTGGACATGTGTTTCTGCTTTCTATCTAGATATTTTATGATAGATTACGAGTGATTTTACAAGTAGAATATGGAGTACACCAATGCTGCTGGTGGGGGTAAGCCAGATTGTCCATGAGCTGCTGAGCTGTCAGCTTGTTTTGGTGGATTATTCCCATCGCTTCATCACAATGGAAGAAATCACGAAAAGAATGAAGAACAATGATGATGTTGTTTCGAGCCGGCTTTCCAGCCAATCAGCATCGAGCTGGCTTCCCGGCCAATCAGGAAGCCAGGTGGCATGTCATTACTCGCTGCCCGGCTTCCTGATTGGCCGGAAAGCCGGCTCAATGCTGATTAGCTGGGAAGCCATTTTCCCGGCCAATCACAATCGAGCCGGCCAAACAACATGAAGCCGGATTCCCGGGCAATCAGGAAGCCAGACGGCATGTCATTACATGCCGCCGGCTTCCTGATTGCCCGGGAAGCCGGCTCCATGCCAGCGGAAGCACCGCTATCAGTACTCTGTATCGGCGAGTACCAAAAGCAAAGTATCAGTACTCGTACTCGATACCGAAATACGGGTATCGCTGCATCCCTAGTTGAAACAATTTATACTATGTTTAAACTGAAAGTGTATGGAAACTCAAACAATGAACTTCTCTTATTTGCATTGTGTTATATATGTTCAGTAAAAAAATACCAGTTTATCCTGCCAGGAATCTTGTGAGCTTTTAAGTTCATGTACAGTCTGCAGTGTTATCTCAAACAGTCTTATCAACTCTGTACAGTTCAACATAGTGAGGAGCTGCTCTGTAGTCCTGACATGTCTCCTGTCCTAACATGGCTATACTGTTTCTCCAATGATAGTGTACATTGAGTAAGTATTGTCACACTAGGACATGAAGTGTGTTACTGGCAGGATCATCAAGTGAAAATAAAGGGGGACAAATCTAAAAAAAAATAAATGTATGCATCCTCCATCTCTACAGATTGGGTAAGCTGCAACATAGGGAAGAGCTGCTCTGTTGTCCTAACACACCTCCCATTCTAATGTGACAATGCTGCTCCTCCATAGATACAGCGTGTGGCATTGTCACCCTAGAACCGGAAGTTTGTTACTGATAGAATCACCAGGTTAAAATAGTGAGAAAAGCCAGAAGAAAGAAAACTAAGAAAATAGGGGAACAGAAGGAGCTACACTACAAAAAACAATTGTATATACCAATCTCCAGGGTTTCAATGAACTGTATGTAAAAAAACAAATAATCCCCTAGGCAAAGAAATCCCTAAATGGAGCTGGTCTAGTAAACAGGTAACACATATGTGGTATTATATAAATGACAATATTTAATGGTAACAAAATAACAAATAGGATCACCTATAACAAGACATCTAAAAACAATTAAAATGACTTCCCTTGGATTACCCAAATATAACAGTATGGGTGATAATCTGCAAACCACCTAAGTGGCAGATAGTCACTGATGCAAGCACAATGGCTGTGTTTCAAAGGTGGATACAAAGTATCGGAGCTTACTCACATCGTGTGTGGCTCAGAATGGGGGACAGTCCTGGTTGGATCCCGTGATGGTGCGTGAATGACATTTTTCAATGGAGCATATTTGTGTGTAGCAATTCAATTCCAGAGAATATGGTTCCTTTGTAGATCCAGAGGCTCTATGGGTGCCTCTCCCCCAGCTAGCTGGAACTCACACTAACCCGCGGGATTCAATTTCCAATCCTGGAGAAAACACCCGGGGATTGTTTCAGCATGTGCGGCCGCACAGTAAGATGGAATGCGATGGAATCCCCATGGCGGTGTGCCCGAGGTGCAGTAAATCAGAAGGCTGTGAAAAATCAAGTGGCAACAGCCCACTCAAATCATACAGGCTTTGCTGTTGCTGTGACCTGACAGTGTCCAGACCGTCTTAGCTCCGTCCCTTTGATTGGGAAACAGTATGATTTTCACTCTCACCCGGCCATGTATAGAAAGTAAAGAGTCAGCTGCGGGTATCCTGGGAAGCTTTAGCACACGTTAACCTGACGCGTTTCCCCCCAATCAGATGGGGCTTCCTCAGAGGGGCGTGTAATTGGTGCCTTGTAAAGGTGTGTTAAATAGCTCACTAATGAGAGCTAATTTGGATCCAGATTTCACACAATCATATCCAAGCCCATGATCCAAAGCTATACGTTATTTCAAAGAAGAAAGAAAACTAATGCAGTCACCACATCTGAGGACTAAGGACTGGTCTGCTGCAATAAAGTACATTTTTGTGTTTTTGATATTAGATACACTTTACCTTTTCCATAACAGCTTACTCCTGTGAATGTGTTTTTTTCCCCCATTCAGGTAGCACCAGAGACAAAAGCGGTAATGAAATGGATGAGGACAATCCCATTTGTTCTGTCTGGCAGTCTTCACGGTGGCGACTTGGTAGTCAGCTATCCATATGACTTTTCTAAACATCCCTTGGAAGAAAAGATGTTTTCTCCCACTCCAGATGATAAAGTAAGTAGAAGATACATACAAGGGAATTACATTAGGTTGTATTTTAATCTTGTCCAGCGGTCCGGTCATGATGGAGGTGTAGTGTACTGTTTCTGTATAGAGCAGTGGTGGCAAACCTTGGCACTCCAGCTGTGCCAAAACTACAAATCCCAACATGCATCTGCCTCTGGGAGTTATGTCTGTGGCTGTCAGAGACTTGCAATGCCTCATGGGACTTGTAGTTCCAAAACAGCTGGAGTGCCAAGGTTCGCCACCACTGGAATAGAGTATAGTAGAATAGTATTATCATAATGTCCAGTGGTCAGGTCATGATGGAGGTGTAGTGTACTGTCTGTATAGCATACAGTAGAATAGTATTATCATAATGTCCAGTGGTCCGATCAAGATGGAGGTGTAGTGTACTGTGTCTGTATAGAGTATAGTAGAATAGTATTATCATAATGTCCAGTGGTCCGATCATGATGGAGATGTAGTGTACTGTGTCTGTATAGAGTATAGTAGAATAGTATTATTATAATGTCTAGTGGTCAGGTCATGATGGAGGTATAGTGTACTGTGTCTGTATAGCATACAGTAGAATAGTATTATCATAATGTCTAGTGGTCAGGTCATGATGGAGGTGTAGTGTACTGTGTCTGTATAGCATACAGTAGAATAGTATTATCATAATGTGCAGTGGTCCGATCATGATGGAGATGTAGTGTACTGTGTCTGTATAGAGTATAGTAGAATAGTATTATCATAATGTCTAGTGGTCAGGTCATGATGGAGGTATAGTGTACTGTGTCTGTATAGAGTATAGTAGAATAGTATTATCATAATGTCTAGTGGTCAGGTCATGATGGAGGTGTAGTGTACTGTGTCTGTATAGAGCAGTGGTTCTCAACCTGTGGGTCGGGACCCCTTCGGGGGTCGAATGACAATTTGCCAGGGGTCGCCGGGAGTCTCCCACTATTAGATAGCTATTAGATTATCATTATTATTATTAATAATAAAAGCTGACACCCTCGGCTTGTGTTATATGGTTTGCCATTTTAGTTGTTACAACAGTGGTTCTCAACCTGTGGGTCGCTGTGTGATTTCTGCTGTGCTCAGTGAGAGTCCTCCTCAGCCCTTTCCTAGCGCAGCAGTGTCAGTTCTCCCGCTACGCTGCCAGATGTCGCTGCAGCAGCTGCGACAACCCTAAATTTTACCGTTGGGGGTCACCACAACTTGGCAAATGTTACCAAGGGGTCACGGCCCTAGAAAGGTTGAGAACCACTGGTATAGAGTATAGTAGAATAGTATTATCATAATGTCCAGTGGTCAGGTCATGATGGAGGTGTAGTGTACTGTGTCTGTATAGCATACAGTAGAATAGTATTATAATAATGTCCAGTGGTCCGATCATGATGGAGGTATAGTGTACTGTGTCTATATAGAGTGTAATAGAATGGTATTATAAGAATGTCCAGTAGTCCGATCATGATGGAGGTAAAGTGTTCCATATCAGTATACAGTGTAATAGAATAGTACAGTAAACTCCCGATTATCCGGCATTTAAGCAACCAGAACTCTTAAAGGAGAACTATGGAGTAAGTGTTTTTCCCCATAGTTCTCCTCAGGGTCACGGGAGGACATAAACTAGCGTCCTCCCGTGACCCAAGGCACAGTATCGCTATATACTGAGCCTGCTAAATACTGAGCCTGCCGCAGCCAAGCAACCAGAAAAAAAAATCGAGGACATAACATCTGTTGCTTGAAAGTTAATAGTAACTCTCAAGCAGCCGGAAACTGCAGTTTTCTGGCATCTACCAATCCCCAGGTAACTGGGAGTGTACTGCATTATAAATATTTCCAGTATTCAGGACATGATGGAGGTGTAGTGTACTGTGTATATATAGAGTATAATAGCAGTACATCACAATTATGATCAATGGTTAAAACTATGACAGTAGATGTAGTGATATATGTCTGTACAGTGTGTAATAGAAGCGTTATATGAAAAATATGTATGCTTCTTATGCTGATCTTCTTCCTAAAAAAAGATAGATAGTGTCCCATGTCTATATAGACTATAACAGAACAGTAATGTGACCATGGTCTAAAGTGATTACACGTTTGGTATCGGTGGTGTCCTATGTCTATATAGATTCTAATAGAACTGTACTTTCACCATGGTCTGTAGTGTCCAATGTCTATGTAGAGTATAATAGAATAGTACTGTGACCATGGTCTGTAGTCACGTCATGTTTGGTATCTGTAGTGTTCCATTTCTATATAGAGTACAATAGAATAGTACTGTGACCGTGGTCTAAAGTGATGATAGGATTGCACCTGATTGTAAGCACATGTTGTAATATGATTCTTTTTCACAAGTATCCTAATGTTTCTTCCTATTCAGGTATTTAAAATGCTTGCGAAGACCTATGCTGCTTCACATCCCAAAATGTCAGACCAATCAACAGAAAGATGTGGAGGAAATTTTGTAAGCAAAGGGAGCATCATTAATGGTGCTGAGTGGTACAGCTTTAGTGGAGGTAGGTCTGTGTTCTTTACAAAAATCCATATACACTTGTGTCCATCTGGGTAGCAGGAAGGCTTAGTGGTAACACTGTAATCCTGGGTTTATCTCAAAATTGGAACACTGACTTTGTTTTACATATGTTTGTATGGGTTTCCTTGCACAAAACATACTGGTAGTATAAAGAGCAATTCCGGGCAATATCAGTGAGCTTCTAATACTTCCCACACTGCAGTTGTGCTAAAATCGGAACATTCACTTAGAGGCTTATTCACTAAACTGCCAAAGGCAGCCGCGTGAATAACTAAGCTGAAGTGAACTGAGCCGAACCGCGTTTGGCTATTTATTTCGGCTCAGTACGGCTGTTTTCAGACGTACATTGGACTTTCGACTCAGGGGCCTTTTCATTCTCATAGAGGCCGAACGGCAGTGAGTGTCTAGCCGAATGCCGCCGAGCGGCATTCGGCTCGGCTATTGTGCTCGCTACCCCCAAGGTAGCGAGCAGAATGTAAAACATGTAAACACATGAAAAAAAATGTTTAAAAATGATTTATATAAATGTAAAAATTATTTTTTTAAAGTTAAGAAAATAATAAAAAAAATGTAAAGAAAAAAAAACAAAAACAGCGTGGGGTCCCCCTCCCAAACCATACCAGACCCTTTAGGTCTAGTAAGAAAGTTAGGAGGGACCCCAAGTTAAAAGGAAAATGTGTGAGGTTACCCCCAAAAGTCATACTAGGTCCTTTAGGTCTGGTAGGAATTTTAAGGAGGAACCCCACCCCCAAAAATGTCTGTCATGGGTTTTTTCCTAACAAGAAATCTTAGTAGGTACCTTATGGGAACTACTTTTCAACATCTAACTTGACACTGTTTATTCTAGCACAGCTTTATCATCTGTCAGTATATGGTAACTGTTCTCACCATAAACACGCAGTGATGATATTCCTCACACCCTTAAGCGTCCCAAGCATGGTCTTTAGCGAGCCAGCCTTAACTATAGTCAGTTCTGTACGTGAGCAACATTTTTTTTTAACTTTAATTTAAGCAAACATAAGTGGTCAACTATTTTTTTTTTTTTTACCCTTAGCATATTTCATGCAGTATGTGATATGTCAGTACTGGCTTCATATAATCATATTCTCTTCCAGGAATGTCAGACTTCAGCTATCTTCACACAAATTGTTTTGAACTTACCCTGGAGCTGGGATGCGAGAAGTTCCCAACTGAGGATGAACTGTATACGGCCTGGCAAGACAATAAAGAATCTATGCTGAGCTTAATTGAAATGGTACAGTGCACAGGTTTTTAGCATGCAGAGTTATGACACAATATTTCAGCTCTATGTCAGATTTCAAGTCCCTGTGAATGAGGCTTGGTATAGAAAAAAAAGAAGAACCATTTAAGGGAAACAAATTCCAGATATAACCTGTGTCATTATTCTTTTCCTCAGCTTGAATACTGCCAATCTTACATTCCTCAACACCATCAGGGATTCTTTTTCATCTTTCTCCAAATAGCATCACTTGTCAGAAAGGCCCTTCTCCGAAGTGAAAGCTAGAGCATATTTCCACTTCAAGTTCCTGCAACAAGCTCATTTATTTCACCGGCCCAGGCCTAAAGGGATGATCTAATAGAAGGCCTTTTGCAAGGTTCCTAGATATTTCTTGGAATTGCCCAAACTGACTTAAAGGACAAAAAACATAACGTACATGCTGGATAATGTTAGAAAAGGTTGAAAAGAATGTTTACTAAATGTATATCTATGTGATAGTTTCAGGATTTTTTTATTATTAGGTATCAAAAGGTGGTAGAGTGAGGAGCAATAGTTGTAGACCAAAAGCTGACCTTTTGTCCATTGGTCCCATACATGAAAACTACATGAAGGCTCGTTATTTAGATGTCACTTTTTGCCCTAATCGACAGATAACAACAAGATATGTTATTATGTATTTATTTTTACAGATGTTTATATATCGCTGACAATTTACTCAGCCTTTTACACATTGTTCATTGACATCATAAGTGCATTCTTCTTTTAGGAAGGTTAAGAAAATGTTTTGGTGATGTATTGGTTGCCGTGTCAATGTTAGGAACACTTTTTCCAGCAACTACTGTCTAAGAGGAGATTTCCAATACTTAGGAGAGATTTCTTCTCACTTCCTCCACAGGACAGGAAGTGAAGGGCAATTTCCCCAGTAGGACACAGATGACAAAAAAACCTGACAGTGTTTTTTTTAATTCATACTTTACAGAAGAACTATGGGCAAATTAACAGGGTTAATCACAAATGGGTGAAGAGTTTTGGAGAAGGCAGGAGAAGTAAACAATCTAGGACAATAAAGCTGAACTGGAAAGTGAGCTGATTGGAGAATTTTTCCAAATCAGCTATGTTGTCCTAGATTGTTCACTTCTCCTGCGTTCTCCAGACTCTTCACCCTTTGTGAATAACCCTGTAAATTTTAACCAGAAAGTGAGGCTACCCCCACATTGCAATGGTTAAAGTATAATTAAACCCGCTGGGTTTGTTGCATGTATCTACAGCTAGCAAGTAGTAGATATATGCAAAAACATTTTTTTTTTAATTACCAAAAAGGTTAAAACTTAGCTGTGTCTCCGCCCGCACTCCCATCCAAAGTTCTGAAAATTCTCGGGCGGCCGCAAAGGATCATGGGGCGGGCGCAAGGCAGGAGAAGAGGAGAGACACAGTGTATGTCAATGCAAGCAGCCCGGCAGCGTGCACCCGCACAGACTCTGTGGGACAGAAGACACAGCATTCAGCACTGCATCAGAGACCGGCACCAGCGCTGGAGAGACTCCTGAAAACTACTTGAAAGAAGAAGATGATCGGATCAAGAGACATCATTTAAGGTAAGTCCTTATACCAGCATGGAGGGGGAGGAAAAAAAACTAGACTTTAATGTCACTTTAAGTCCTTATTTTGTCTAGGAAGCTAAAATAACATTATACTCCCCCGAGCCACGATTCCAGCTGGTTGTTAGGCCTGTTCCTGCCAGTCTCCTCCACTTTCTGTGTTTCTCTAATTTTTTTAATACTTTTTTGGATAAACCCAACTTCAAAATATTTTTCACTGTGGTATAAATTCTTCTGGTTTGGAACATATTCTTTTCAACCTGGACTTTGGGACATAGGGTAGAGTCTGTTGACACAAGTGCAAATGGACAAGTTGGGACTGGCTGAGTCCATGGGATTCAGCACTGTCAAATACTGCTCACATTGAACACATTGTTGCGATTTTATATGTGCATGTTATCTGTGCACTAGTTTTGGAAATGTGTTTCCATCTTTCTTAAATGATTTTAAGCAGTTTTACACTATGTGGTTTAGTTATAAAAATTCCACCCAGTGGATAGCTGGGCAGATGCCTATTGCAGGGCACTAGTGCCTCTTAATTTCACTATACTGGGAAGATAAGAATGATAAGAATTCCCTATACTGCTCAGCGTAGGGGCGTCCCGAGGCCGGGTGTCACCAGTAGCGGGTACCAGGTGAGACCCGCCGTGACATCGTTGTGCATGCGCGGCCATCTTGGTGATACCTGCCGGCGGTCATCTAGGTGATGGACACCGGCAGAGAGAGGAGGGGATGTTCACCAGGATAAGGTATACCGCCGAGTCCCCTCCTCTCTCCTGCAACTGTTGGGCTCTCGGTCCATGACCGAGTGTCTGACTCTTCAGAGGGGGTGACACCAAAATGACTGTCAGTCATTTTGGTGTCACCCCTCCAATGGTGTCACCCGGGTGCGGGTCGCACCCCCCTTGTGATGCCTCTGGCTCAGCGTCATCTTGGAATGCTAGTGCCATGTAAATGGAATTCACCCAGCATATAAATAAACCTGTGTGTGCCACTTTATCTTTTCTTCTTTGGGAGATGCTGGGTGTGCATAAAAAAGGGACGTTATTTCTGAGGATTGTATAAAGAAAATCTGCGCTCCTGGAAATAACTAAGAACTATTATCCCCTAAAGCAGCTATGAAAAGGAAGTTTTGTATGTTTAAAAGTGTTAACACAGCGCTAAAGGTGAGTTTATATATTAAAACTAGATAAACACTATTATTATGCATGAGAATATAAACAGATCCTCATAATTAACATAAATCGGTGAATAATAAACTGTGAAATGAATAAAGTTAATAAAATAAAATAATTAAATATCTAAACTATTTAACTTTTAAAGTGTAATAATAAATACGGTGTAATAAATGTACCAGAATTAATCAACTTGAATCCCAATGAATTTGTGATAAAGGTAGTTTGAGCATTAACTAAGTCCTAAGTGATTCCAATAATGAGAAAAACATTGTACAAAAATTGATATGTGCATAAACCTTTGAATACAAAGTAACAAAAAATATAAAGCAACAAAAATATCAAAAGATCTCAGTATAAGACACACTATTGATTCCTTTTAAAGTCCCAATGAAAATGTGGTAATAACCAGTGAAATAAGCCAAGTGCTGAATAATTCAGATAGTGAAAAAAGAAAAAATAGAAAAAAAAAGGAAAGAAAACGAAGAAAAAGTTCTCTTTAGCTTAATCTTCCAATCAGTAGTCCCCCCCAGGTAGTGGGTACTCACCAGAGGTGGTGAGTATGTATAATCACTCAAAGGGAATCTACACCTCTGATCTCCCCGTTCGGTTTCTCCCGAGCTCCCCCGGCAATAGAACAAAATACTGACAGGCGCTCTTCCACTGCAGTATCGTAAAGGTCCCGGTTCTTTGTTAGAAGCAGATGGCGGCTTCACTCCTCCGTGAGCGGCAGGTATTTTCCCACGGTCCCGATCGGTGTTTTTTAGAAGGGTTTTGGAAAAGAAAAAACAACCCTCATGGTGCAATAAATTCAACAATATATTTTATTAAAAGTAGCAACTTACACGTGAATTTAAGAGCTTTGGCCGGCCAGACAAAAGAAGGATAAAAGCTCTCCTGAGGATTACTGACTCTGGATAAGGGGACAAGCATGGTTGACCTGGCTAAATTATATTAGTTTCAAGACATGTGCGATTTCATTTCGCTCCGAATCGAAATTCGGACGGAATTTCGGAAATTCGGAGATTCGGATGTATCCGAATTACAGATATAACGAATGCAAACGAATCCGAATTTCCGATTCCGAAATTCTTTAGCGATAGTCTGGACGAACTTTAATTTTTTGGCCGAAATTTCTTTGCAGCAAAGTGACATTTGAGAACAAAAAAACTTTTTTTTCCCTCTTAAATGTCACTTTGCTGCAAAGAACGAAACGGATTAAAAACAAAATTTTGTACGGACTACGGCTAACGATATTCATCTGAATACGAATTCCGAAACGAATTGACTTTCGGACCCTAATTCCGAAAAACGAAATAAAGCAAAATCCTAATCAAAACGAAACAAAACAATTTTTTTGCTGGTGCACATGCCTATTAGTTTCTGTCTTTGCGAAAAAGTGAGTTCCGGTGTGGGGAATATCACCTTGGTGTGGAGTCACGCACACGGATCTCTTGTTGTGTGGGCATGGTCTTGTCATTGATTCTACTGAATGCAAGTTGGACTCACTAGTACAAAGACTAAACTGATAATTCATTCATATGAACACTTTTGGAACACTCTTTGGAAGGTTTATTTATTGTGTTGTTTGCACTGTTTTTAGAAGAAGATACACAAGAGGTTTGTGAGGTTTTTTGAATTTGTCAGTACTCTCAGCTGGTACCACTATTTCACATTTTAGCTTGAGGCCAGCTGTGTGACACACAGTACACCAGTCAGCAATGTGGCGCGCAGTGCAGAGGTCAGCCCCTTGACGCGCAGTGCTGAGGTCAGCAATGTGACGCGCAGTACAGAGGTCAGCAATGTGACGCGCAGTGCAGAGGTCAGCAATGTGATGCGCAGTGCAGAGGTCAGCCCCTTGACGCGCAGTGCAGAGGTCAGCAATGTGATGCGCAGTACAGAGGTCAGCAATGTGACGCGCAGTGCAGAGGTCAGCAATGTCCTGACACCTCTGACATTCCAGAGGTCAGGGTGTGATACACAGTACAGAGGTCATGGTGTGATGCACAGTACAGAGGTCAGGGTGTGGTGCACAGTACAGAGGTCAGGGTGTGACGCACAGTACAGAGGTCAGTACACAGTGCAGAGCTCAGCGGTCAGTATGTAACGCAGTGCAGAGGTCACAAAGAAAGTACAGGGACTTACAGTTGCTTTGACCTCTTCTTCTCCTGGTGATGGTGGGGGAGCAGCGAGGTTTCCTACACATCCAGCTGGCGCTCTCTCTCCTGCGCAGCAGAAGCCG